GATAGGAACTGAGCTCTTCCGTCTCTCGGGAGCTTCAATTGCTTCCGATGGTCAGTCGACCCCGACCAGTCGCCCTCATGCTGTTCCTTGCTAAACTTGTCAAGCTCCGTCATACTTTTCCCGCTTCTTCGAGGAGCAGCTTCGCCTGAACGGAGATATCTCCAACGTCAGGACCCTGTATATCGACCGGGATCCCACCACATTCAAGGAGATTGCCAGGCATCTGCAAGGTAAGTAGCATGTATCGCAGAATCCAGCGTCTTAACTAACTGTCGGCAACTAGGCTATCATATACAGCCTAAAGATGGGCCGCAGTTCGTCAAGTTTTTCGCGGATGCCCAATTCTATAGCCGTATGAGACCCGTCCACAACATCATTGAGAAAGCAAGTACTGACACTACCAGTTCCTCGATTGATCTCCCAACTCTTCGAGTCGGAGATCTTCGTCCGAATTGGCGGCCACAATTTCCAGATTCCCCGCGATATCTTCTCTAGCCCAGGGGATTCGCCGAATTTCTTCACATTGGGATTTGCCGCCTTCTTCGCCTCGCCACTGGAAGTATTTCCCGGGCTGGACCGTCAGGGTCTCCTGCGACCTCCAGCAATCACCCCACCCAGCGTCCCCAGCCGCTCGGGCGAGGTCTTTGCGCAGCTCCTCCATCTCCTTCGCGGCTATCCTCTGGAAATTCGAAACGAAGCGCATCGTGCAGAGCTTTTGCGGGATTGCCGCTACTTCCATCTGCGCGGTCTAGAGCAGCAGCTCATACCGCACCATATCAGCTTCAATCCCATTCGCAAACGGGATGAGATTGTCATTCGACTCGAGGACGTCCGTCGGTCAGGCATCGACGTAGACGACATCGCTCTTCCTCCCGGTCACACTCAGGCCGACACCATGTCCGCAGCCCTGGTTACTTACTCTCGCCCGTTTGTCGATGATAAGAAGTACGATCTCATCCTCGAGATAGGGGACGAAAGCACCATCCTCGACATCACCAGCAGACGTCCCACCTTCCTGGGCACCACGAAAGCCCGCGTAAGCAGCCTTCTGCAGGTGATAGCGGGGAAGAAGGGTGACCAGAACCGGCCAGCCGGACAAAAAGAGAGTGCGCCGGAAGACCGTCTGTGGGCCTCTCTCTCAATGGATACCGACATGACCGTCGACGGAGAAAGGGAGTACTTCCCCGACATTCTCCGGGACAGCATGTCCGGCTCGGAGAGTCTGTCAGAGGAGCCGTCGAGGAAGCGCAAGCGCGTTGAAGAGGCGTCCATTAATCGTCCGTGGATTGTCCGCAATGGACAGTGGCGGCTGTGCATGCAACCGAGGGCCAAGGGAGATGGGATGGATATCGTCATGATTGCGGTGAAGTTGGAGGTGTATACGTTGCAGCGGACGCGGAATAAGCAGAGGAAGTTCCTCTCCTCCTGATTTCGTTCTATACCTATCTATACATGACTTTGCTTTAATACTGTACATGTCCCGTTTTACTTTTACTTTATGATAGACCCATGAACTCAATCCGAGAATCCCTCCCACTCGTCTTCCCCTTCATCCTCTTCCGCCTTCTCACCCACCTCATCCTCATTTTGCTCCTCCTTACTCTCCCCGGCTACATTCTCATCCCTCACAAACCCAGCAACAAAGAACCCCCCAGTCCCCTCCTCATCTCCCGGCCAACACCGCAAACACCCCTCCAACTCCTCATCCGACAACGTCACCTCAACCCCTTCACCACCAGTAGCACCCCCCATAACCCCCCTATGCACCCACTTCCTCATCCCAACAGGCTGCTCATCCCTCCTGAGCACCCTCCATCCACGCGTCTTCGCCACCTCCGAGGCCAAAATCCTCGAAACCACCGCCTCATTCTCCAACAAATGGATCGAGCACGTACTATACGTCACCCTCGTCGCGGCAGGGAAACTCAGCGCGTGCTCTACAATCCGCGTCTGCAGGTTCGATAGCTTGATGAGGCGCTCCTCCGTCATTCCGGTTACCGGGACGTCGTTTTCGTCTGTCGCCGAGGGGGTTTCTGTCGCCGTGGTGGTGGGAGGTTTCTTTCCTTCGCGGCTGTCGTCCTCGTCGTTGGCGCGACGCTTGCGCTTTTTCCCTGTTGAAGAAGAGGTAGTGGTAGACTCAGGGAGTGTAAGCTTAGGCACGTCGTCGCGACCGATGATCCCACTTCCGGAGCAGCTCGGGTCGAGGAGTAGGCCTGAGACGTTTTCGAAGCGGGGATCAGTTGGATCCAGCGCGAGGAAATCCTGTCCTGGGAGGACGGTCACCATGGTGTCTGCGCCGGCGGTGGAGACCATTTTCTGGAGGGTTTTAGCTCGGATGGGAGATTGGTCCATCGAGAAGATGTGGTAGGTCCCCGTTTCCTTGTTATTTTTGTGTTGCTGTTTCGCCAACAACGAGGCCATATGCGTGGTCTTATTCCCCGGCGCAGCACACCCATCCAACAATCCACCACCATCATCCCACCCCTCATCCTCATCTCCAACAAGCAAATACGCAGGAAAGCAACTCGCCTTATCCTGCAAGATGATCTCCCCGTTCTTGTACGCCGGCGACGACGTGAACTCCGCTCCTGGCGCAACGGCAATCAAATCCGGGACATGGGGGTCGAGAACCATTCTCTTCGGGAGGGTAAGCTCCGCTAGTGACGAGACCTGTTCGTAGCCTGCGAATGTGGTGGAGAGCTGTTTCTCCAGCGTCGTGCGGATGTTGTTCACTCGCACCCAGCGCGGGTAGATTGCGGTGGAGATGCCTGCTGCGCCTTGGAGAGCGAGCTTCTCCCTCGCGATGGCATTCTTCAGCGCCGGGATCGTGGCGCATCCGCGTCGCACTCGCGCTTTGGTGAATTCTCCGCGGAGACGGGTCTTGTGTCGCTCGATGGTTTGGCGTAGGGGGTGGGTGGATTTGGCGGCCAGGCCGGATTTGGCGAGGAGGAGGTCGTGCACGAGGAGGAGGGAGAGGAGGGGGGTGAGCTGTTATTATTCAGTTGGGCTTGGTTAGTTAGTATTCTCTGGATTGGATTGCTTCGTGGGTTGTGTTGAGCGGGCGGGGATAAGTGGTATGTGTGTATGTGTGGAGGTATGTGTGGTATGTACCTTCGGCTCAAGTTTGAGTATCCCCGCTGCTTCTATTACTTCCTTGAGGAGAATATCCCATTTCGAGGCTTCGATGATGAGGGCGTAGATTTGCGCCGGGGCGGACTTGATGTTGCGGGCGTTGTAGATGCGGGATTTGAAGGAGCCGCCGGTGGTGGAGGGGGCCGTGAGGATGGAGACGGCGTCGTAGTAGAGGGACATGGTGGGAGGGAGAGAAGTGGTGGTTATTGCATGGTAGAGTTGTGGAGATTGAGAGTTGCGATGCGATGCGATGGAAAAGGAAAACTTGATGTTTGCATTGTTTGGTTGGGTTATCGGAGGAGATAAATAACCAAGTCTTTGAGATGATGAACTACAATCAGATGAAGTAACCAATTAGCAAACAAATAATAATTTATATATCTATCCTCCTATCTCCATCACAAAGACTATATACCACAAGAGGTAAGTAAGTAATATGGCAAACATACCCAACCCTATCATGTACAACCAAACACGAGGCATATAAATGGTTGGATAGCCTTATCTCCGCATCTCCGTCCGATCTATACTTAAACCCGCATATCCCCCATCCCACACAATTCCCTCCACCTACAATCTCACCAAGTCCCTCCACACCTCCCTACAACACCACCTCTACATCCTGAAACACAATGTCTACAACCACCAAACAACCAACATTCACCACAACCCTCATCCCACCCCCCGGCCCCTCCCCCAACCCACCACTCACCGTCCCCCCACCAACAACCACTCTCACCACCCCCACGGACCCCCTAACCACGGCCCTCCTCATCCGCCGGGACGTCTTCATCCATGAACAGAACTGCACGCCGGACGGTGAAATCGACTCGGATGATCCCCGCAGCTGGCAATGGGTAGTCTACGCACAGCACCAAGACGCTGAAACCACCCCCACGCCCGTGGCCGTTATCCGTCTCGTGCCACCACCCCACGCACCGCACGAGATCCTCACGCACCCTGAAACAGCATCGAGTCTCCCCAAATGGGATCTGAAAAGCGAGCCGTATGTGAAACTGACACGGGTGGCGGTGGTGAAGGAGTGGAGGGGGTATGGGCTGGGACGGGTGTTGGTGGATGAGGCGCTAAGATGGGCGGCGCAGAACCCGGGGGAGATTCAACAGGCGTTTAGGGATGTTGCTGGGGTCGAGGGGGAGTGGAAGGGATTGGTGTTGGTGCATGCGCAGGTGCAGGTGGAGGGGATGTATAAGAGGTTGGGGTTTGAGACGGATGAGGCGTTGGGGAGGTGGGATGAGGAGGGGATTGAGCATGTGGGGATGTGGAGGAGAGTGTCTGTTGGATCTTCTTAGATTGGGGGAGTCGTGTGTGTATAGTGTATGTATTGAAGGGATGTTAAGAGGATAGATCTACATGTGGATATACAACTACGTGGATAGAGGGTTGTTTGGTTGGTTGTTGAAGAAGTCTATTGCATATCATGATGATGTCAAACTCCACGGCTCATAAAGTAAACTTCACACTGAAGCGAAAAACAAGGAACCAACAAAGAGATCGCCGCGCATAAGCAACCATGACGGGGTATCCTGAGTAGTAAAAGGAGAACAAGATTAAGAAAAGAAGCCCCCCGCATCTCTGTCGACGATCTGTCGCAGCTCACAAATAAAAGATCAAACGCCCGTAAAGCCCATTAGCCATTAATCCGCAATTCATCCGAGCAAACTCCAAGCAATGACCGAAACCGTTGAGAAGACAAACCCAGACGGTGTAAACAGAAGCGAAAAGCGACAGAAAGTATGTTCTAAAACAGGTATGTATGAAGTGAAGTTGCTTCCCAATGTCGTAGTGTCAATGGACATTGGTGGTATGGACATGTTGTGTTGTTCATCAGCCGTAGTTGTCGTAATAAATTAAAAAGTGCTCCAGTTCCAGCCACGAGGGACGCTGGCAGCGATCTCGGTGCTCTGGGCCAACACTCCGGTCAGGGCGGGCTTCGCATTCTCGTCCGGCGAGATATCCGAGCGGTCGGAGGCGGTATTGTATTCTTCATTGTCACTGTCGGAGGCTCTGCTTTGAGCATCGAGCAGGCTCTGGATCTTGCTCAGGCGCTCCGTGCGAGATTCCTCCCAGCGCTGGTAGGCGCTCCAGCAGAGGTCGCATGCGCGGGAAGGAACTCCATCGGGGTGGAAGCGAGCATTCTGATCAAGCGGGACGACATGAGGAGTGTGGGAAGAGCAGAAGACATGGCCGCAATGGCGACAGTGGTGGCGGCGAAGGAAGAGACCGAAAGAGGAGCGGCAGGTGGGAGAGTCGCAGTTGGGGGAAGCAGAGTCCGCCTGTTGGGGAGGTTTGGTTAGCACAAGTTCATTTTTGCTTCTTTGCAAGGGGATCTTGTTGCAAGGCTGCCTGGATGTCGTCATGGCGATCACGCGATATCGCGCAACGCAATTATGGCGCGACCCGGAGCTCGGCTTGCGCCATGACAACACTATATAGTAGACGCGTCCACCCAGGGGCAAAGGGCAAAGGGACTGTAGAAGTGGTTTCACTTACTTTCCAATGATCACGAGTGGGAAGACCAGTGACCTCACCCAGGTGCTCATTCTTCATCCATTCATCCTCTGCCAGCTTGCTGACAGCAGGACCGCTGTTGTAGCTCTCCATGGTCGAACGACGAGTAACAGGTGCACCAACTTCGCCCTCGTTCAGGCTGTCGAGAGAACCGTGAGAACCGTGAACGCTGCGGGGAGGAGTCGGGGGAGAAGAGGCCTTCTGGGGACGCTCAGTCGGGCGCAAGGCAGCAGGAACGTAGAGAGGGCCCTTGAGGGGACGAAGTTGCTTCGACTGAAGCGGCAAGTGCTGATAGCGAGGAGAGGTAGGAGAGTTATCTGCGGGAGAGGTCTCGGCCGAGTTGACAGGAGAGGGATGGCCGTAGACGGAGATTTGCTTGCCAGTGAAAGCAGGGGCAGTAGTAGTCGCAGTCACAACGTGGGTAGCCATTTGAGATGATATCAGGTGTTGAATTATTATTGAGAAAGAGTTTGGGTAGAAGGTGTGGAGGATATGTTGGTTATCAAGTGTTGGTAGAGTGGAGAGTAGTTGAGAGGATGGAAGTCAAAAGTGGAAGATAAGGTGACAGTAGACCAAGTACTAATAGCAGCGGATGTTGAGGGAATTATGAATTATCGCTTTCAGTAAGGTGTCGAGTGAATCGATGGGTTATGATGCCAACAGTAACCAGAGAGGATTAGATCAGTTAATGGCCATTGACAGAGTAGCTGGACGGAACCAGAAGCGCATCGCAGTGGCAAGCGGGAGAGTGGTGGGATAAAGTTCGCGATGACGCTGGGATCTGGAGATAGGCGATATAGAGAGGATCGATCCAGGGAATCGGGTTGCAGCACAAGCAAACCGCGTGGGGGGGATGTTCAAGTAAGTGATTTAATAGTGAGATGATAAATAAGTTAAGTAGTGGGTGGGTGGTACTCGAAACGAATCGGGACGAGTGAAGGGGAAGGGGGAGAAGCAGGTGATAATGGTGGGCGATGAAGGGCTACTAATAAGAGAGCGAGACTCTACTCCTACAGGCACTCCCAGCAGGAATGGATGAATTATTAAGTGGCATCCGCCGGACGGGGATGGGGGGTGGGTGGAAAATGGGAAATGGGCAATAGGGAATGGGCGATTTTTTTGCCATGCATTGTGGAGATGCGCTAGTGGATGGAGACCCCGATGATAATAATAATTATCATTATCCTTGAACACGCTAAATTAACCCGACGAGCAGCGCAGTCTCGTCTGCTTGGACTCGATAGGTAGTTCCGACGGCGGCTTAGGTTGAGGCTAGAAAGTCCCGAAGAAAGGCAGGGAGTGGAGCCGTTGGAGGATCGGAGGCGACCTTACACTCCCAGAAAGTTACGCTTGATCGTGACGATGACTGACTGAAGTTACTTTCCCTACCCTACACTGTAAGTAAGTAACAAAGGGGGAAATATTATTACTTTACTTTTACTGGATGTATCTCCTACGACTTGAATGTTACTTTACTTTTTGGGATCTTATTTGCTTCTTCGGATAATATTCTCCTCTCTTCCTCACCCCTTTCGCCCTGCAAGATGTCATAAGAATGTGATCGTGACCTACTGATAGTTCATCTTATTCATGTTTCTTTCCTTTTCCCATACTCATTCCTTACTCGACTAACCATTGTTTTTCCCCTGGCGAATCCATAGCCGAGGACTGGAGGGAAAATCCAGGAGATTTGTTTGGAACTGGACGGACTCCCCGATCGTCCGGCGTTACCAATCCGTAACAGCAGATCGGACGGATTCAGGTTAGACTAACCCCAAACCAGCACGGCATTTTACCGAGGCCGCCCTGAGAAAGAGAAGATAATCTCCAAAGCCGGGATTTAGACGAATATCGGATACTACGCCGGAGTGTTACTCTGCTGGGTGTTTCCGATTGTCTTAATAGTTGGTATTATTATGATGGGGGATAATGATGACGAGAGATGCAATCTACTCGCTACCCTGTACACCGGCAATTCCTCCGTGATAGTCATATGAAAATGAAAATAAAGGTAATACATCCAATCTATCTACTTCTGCCCGGTTCTTGGCAGATACATGACATTTGTACCGGGTGGGTGGGATGGACAAATGCGGTGTTACTACCTGCTGCCCGTCCACGGTAATATCCAGCCTGGAGGATGGCTGCATCGCCAACCAGTCACTACCACTCGATATCCATCCATTCCTTCCCCCCCTTCCGCCGAAAGTCATGATGACAACAACCATGGATACTCTCCCCCCTGCTCTCTCTTGACCGCCTCTTGCTTCCCACCCGCACCGGGCATTCCTTCGATCGAGGATCTTCCGTATCTTTTCCCCTCCATACCGCTCATCGATGATTCATTCATCCCCGCGGTATGCACAGGGCGGCCCAGAGTCAACCTTGTATCATCCTTTTCCCACTCTCGACCCTGAGGCAATCAAGTATGCATCCCGGTCTAGTGGCAACAAGACTTGGAACACGGTATCATCATCGAAAATGGATTAATGCCCGCATCTGATAACTTTCCCTTTTGAGCCATCTCCATTGTTCTTCCCCCCACTACTCCTCACGATGTACACAGCTGTCCCCATTATTCTCCCCTTCTCCAAACCCACCAACTGCCAATATCACTCACTCTGCTGTAAGCACGGGAGTCTACCGGGCAAGGTACCACAATTAATCATGAATGAGGGTCCGCTTCTCCATTAAAAAAAGCGGACACCTAACGCGGACTCCAACCGCCATCGGATAGACTACTTTGTAATAGTGGCAGCAGCTGAAAGAGAGACAGACACAGACAGAGAGACACGCTTCTGAGCGACGGCTACAGACCACGGAACGCTCGACCGGTGAATCTCCCATCAAATCAAAATAGGGTGGCTTCTCATTGGCAAGCGGACTCCACCCGAGGTAAGACCCACTGGCCGCCTTGACCGCGATGACTTGCTCTCTTAGGAAGAGTTCACGAGACCACTGCTACTACTGTGTACATGGGTGTTCCCTTCCCAAAGCCTCGGAAGTACTAGGAATGGTCTATCCTATTCCCAATGATCACGGAAGGAGAGTCAGTGTGCAGTTACTACTTACTACACTACTACTGCTACTACTATTTACATATCCACACATACATCCACTGCTATCCCCATCCCCTTGCAAGCAAGACTCCATCAAGTCCAACGTCTTTCTGGCGGTGACAGACCGACCGTTGTGTCCGACTGCTCTCCCGTGCCAATCAATCCGATCGGATAAGAAACAGGGTGGTGAAGGGGAGATGAGATGGAACGGAAAGCATGGACTGGGTTTGGGTTGGATTGGATGGATGGCTGCTCAGAATGGGGCCTTTGCACCGGTGGGAGTGGAAACCAATTAGCTGGAGAACCGCTTTTCCCAAAGTCGGTGGATCCCTTGAACCTCGCCTCCGGATTGGAGTCCTCCTGCAGCTCGTTATCGCTGTACTGTGATTGGCTGAAACGGTCTTGCCACGTTGCCATTGGTCAGTGCCCCTCCAGGCCAGCACGGACAGTCCCCGAACCAGTCGCCTCTCCAGGGCGTCTCTCCTACTGTGCACTATAACTTTCATGACTTGGTGTCTTTGTCGGGCAAACTGCCTCGAGCAGATTATGTAACAGATACAACAAACCGCGTCGCGTGTAGACACCTTCGGTACCGCTTCGGGTTAGCGCTTCCGGTGCACCTCGGCCGTTGAGCCTTTGACTTGCCGCTGTCGACTTTCTTCGGCTTCCCCTTGCGCCCGTGGTGGATGCGCCTGACTATTGAAGCCGTGATGATTGGACTGGCCTCGTGGATTTGGGCCTGTCAAATTATTCACGGCGGCACACGACCGAGGCAAGTCAGTATTTTGATTGCTTGCCCCGGTGTGCGACTTGGTGCTATACCCAGCTGAAACCCGCCTCGAATATTCTAGTCGGCCTTAGTCTAGCAGCCGCTACGGTGAGTCTAAATCGGCAGAGGATCCCACTCCTGACAGGCCGCCTGCTGGTTGGTGCAGACGTGCAGCTCAGGATGTAAGACATCCGCGGACTTACATGCACCGTACAGCCTGGCCGTGAACTATCCTCAAGGCACATCCCTGCCGCTGCAGCTCTAGACCGGGTGCGAGGCGGTGACAGGATGTACCTAGTACCTGACTACCCAGGATTCCTCCCTTGGCTCCAAAGTGGCATTCAGGAATACTAGCTGCTTCATTTGTCCAGCTTAGGAAATGACGACGATGGCTTTGTTTTCGAGCAGGGATTCAAGCAAGTTAGGAACTATAACCGCTGTTCGTTATATGGAAGCGCCTGGAAAATGCGCTTGCGTCTCAATTTCGAGGCGATACGATACGATCGTGAAGCAGGCCGCTTAAGCGCTTCGCCGGATCGACCGCTAAGTAGACATCAAACACGGATGTAACCCAGAGCAGGCTCCTGCGTTAGCAACTGATAACTGAGGCGACTCCGTGTTTAGGCGCCAAGCTACGCATCAAGAACAGTCGATCCATCAGATTAGGAGACCGACGGGATTGATCACCCTTTCCCAGCAACCAGGTACATCCCTCCATCATGAGATGAACCCATCCTACTACGTACCCCTTATCGAGCTTCCATACGAACAGAGCAAAACAAAAACAACGCTCTTCAGACGGTTGGGAACTGCCAACCAATCATATTCACCCTATCAATAATAACGCGGGAACCATACTGTATACGAGTCCCTTTCCCCCATCCTCAACCACACGAGGAGGAGACGTGGTTAATTCTCGGCATCTCCAAACCCTACCATATCCGCGTAGCCCGACACCCTCCCCAGCCCCGAACCACGGTTCAGCGCACAGCCGGACAGACAGCTCAACGTCGATCCCACCCGAACAGGCAATCTCATCGAACACTCGTCGAAGCCTCCGTGCCCGAGAATTGCCCCTCACCGAGGAATTGCCTGCTCGGCCGCCCCTCGAAGGCAAAAATTCGGGGCGATGAACAACGATGATCCGAAGATCACTGGCGGTGGATGTCTGGGCCAGGGCCAACCGTACACATGATACGATCAGTGATCAGTAGAAAAAGTGGATGTGCATACGTGCCACAACTCACTGCCACTAGACTAAACTCACTCGACACAGCCGAGCCGACCAGACCAGCCTAAGATAAGCCCAGTCCTCTGTAGAGTATAGATAGGCAGTGCCGGGACAGCGAACCAATGTTTGCGATGGAGACTTGAGACCGCGTATTCTAGTTCAGTTGTTGGGTTGACTCCGCACCACTCGTGGATGTTTGTTTGTTGTTTACAACCTTAAAATAGAGTCGAGTATACGTATGTCGCTTGGCTGTTGTTTCTTCTAACGGTGAAACATCATCTTCGTTAATTCGTCCTGAGGATAACGCATGCCAAAATAAAATGATAATCTCTTTTGTTTTTAGGTGTTCTTTGTGTAACCATCACCAGGAGATTTTTAGTCCGCTGCAGAACTGCAGCCCAATTATTGGGTCGCTGCTTCATCCGATGCATCCGGATCCTGATCGGGTTAGATCGGTTGGCTCTCATCGTCCTTTCACATTGGAGTGGGATTAACGTTCACCTTGCTTGTTTGGGCGTTGTATGGCATACACTTTAATTTCGATTTATTCTCCATTTGATTGCATAGTAACCCATATCAACCAAGCAGGGGACTTGCATTTGTGCATATATATGCGTTGGCATTATTTACGGTGCGTAGCACAAATATATACAGCTAAGATTGAGCCGGTACCCCTCCAACATTGAACTTGGACATGAATTGGTAGCAAAACGATTAGGTCTCGTCCAAGTACTACTGGATATTATTGAAGAGATGATGGTTATTCAGTCCATAGTAGCAGTCGCACTCTAGCCCCCCAAGTTAATTAAACCTACATGATTGTACACAATTCAAACCTACCCAACACCCCTCCTCACCACACACTGCATAGTAACCACCCTGACGGACAAAGTACCAAAGCTAAACCTAGCACCCAAACAACAACCTGCTATTTACTAGTTGAAATCAATATGCTGATCACTGCACCCAGAGCCTCAAACTTCCCTTCCGTGCTCCCCCCAAGCGAAGTAAAAACCTAAAGCTATACGAATAAGGCTGGCTATCAAAACCTACTTTGTCCTGCTCAATCTACTACCCATCGTCTCGGGAAGTCAAAAAAAAGTACGAAGGTGTGTGCTTTGATGATGGCGCACGGTTGCTTGAGGTATCTGTGCTGAAGCTTCTGGCATGGTGGTGAGGTAATAGGTGCTGATAGCTAGCTAGCTGGCGATGGATGGGATTGAAGGAGCGAGGAAGGAAGGTTTTGGGCTGCAGTGGTGGTAAGTTGGGAAGGATTCGCTAGGGACTAGGGGCATGGTGTGGATATATTTTCCTTGAGTTGTGGGAGATAAGAAGTGAAGTACTACAAGTCTTTGTATAATTGGATGGTCTGAAACTGGATATGTATTTACTGGAATTCGTGTCTGAGTATAGAAATGCTAAAGGGAGATATTATAGATACTTCTATCTTTTTAATAGCAGTGCTAGATGGACATATTCAGTAATTCTAGACACCGTCAATACTGCCTGTATACTTACAAAACAAATAAACATCTCTTGGTTCAATACCAGATACCATCACATGCTATTGTTTAAACGAAGGTTAAGAATAAGACCAACTCATCAGCACATCCCTGTCCCTCTCTGGAATATACTCTCTTAGTTACCCCGCCACGAATGCCACCAGAGCCCCGCTACTCCGATGATGGCAACAGTATCGCCGCCTTCGGACATAACAGTGATTCTTTGACAGAAGACATACAGTAAATTCCCGCAACCGAGGAGGCGGGATCTAGATCGAGATCGAGATCGAGCTGGATGTGTCGGCGGCAAACGAGGGTAGATAGATATCTAGGCGAGCTCCTATTCTTTGCCGTGAATTATCATATTGGATTTGTCAAGCATCGACTATTTTGAATTGACGCGGAAGCACTAGTCCGAGTTGGTTTCCTCAGGCGTTGGATCTGTCTCGTGACCGGCATGGATTAGTGTTGTTACTTGTTGCTGTGGCGGTGGCTACTACTAACTTACTGCTAACCATCGACGTAGTCTCCAATCCACTCGATTTAGTTTCTCTCAGCTGGGGGCAACTGGTAGAATGGCGTGCTTTGTTCTGTAGGCGACCGGTGAATACTAACTACACTAACTAACAGAGGGTCTACAGTCCACATAGGTGATAGTCTAGACAAGGCTGTCCTGCTCTACGGCTTGTTGTTGATGCCCAAAGCGTCAATGGCGGGGTGATTTCCAGTTACCCCTCACTCACCTTTTCTTTGATTCTCGCTGCAGCCCCTCTTCCATCTATGATAGACACTCGCCAGCCGCGTCTGGCCGCCATTAGCGCTGCCTCAAGTGACATCACTACGGTGTTCCTCTTTTTGAGATACAGATGGATACATTGCACTTGAGTTGAGCACCCATGCACCTACCGGCCGCACGGTGAGTTGTTCTGTCTTCAATGCTGATGATTCAGTGCGGTGGAGTACCTATCGGCCGAGTACATACACACATCCTGGAATCCCCTCTGCTGCATACCTGGTATCTGGAGATAAGATCGGAAGAACCCCGCAGTCTGCCATCGTCCACATCTGCTGACCTGACTGACTGACTGACATTCATCCTCGTCAATGGAGTCAAGCATGGATTCCTCAGCCACAAAGGCCAACGACCGGGCCGAGCAGGGTCAGCCTGACAAAGAAAGGACCGCTGCGCTCGGAAGATTGCCAACTAGGGTCTCTGCAGCCATACTGAGTCACGCGTGAACTCCCGCCCCCTCTTTGTTCCGATCTCTATCGATACGAAGTGTACATAGTCGACTTTCCGACTCTGGCCGTGTCTTGTCTACAAGCTAGAACTGCACGCATCCGGACGCGCGGGCAGACGGACACGTGTCGGCCGTCCAGTATGCAATCCGTGCGTCATCTGAGGGCAGCCATGGGCTCGGGATCAAGGCAGTAAGCATACCGGCATCCAGCCAGGTCAGGTTCAATGAGCATTGACCTGTTCCGTCCAAGAATGATGTCTTACATCCAGCTGTCACCACTATAAGCTTCAAGGCCCGGTGCCAGTTGATGGGTGTGTATATACCCCGCATCCTGCAGCTAGCCTGCTCCGGGCCTGCCCGGACACATGCTGCTCATCTGCCGGGGATGTTACTTGTCCAATCGTGCTGGCTAGATAGTTTACACATCCGGCTGTCTCTAGCTTTTGACACGTGTGAACCCGGGGCTATCGCGGGTATGTCTTCTTTGATAACCTGCGACAGGTCATATAGAGTGTGCAAGAGGTCATAGTCCATGCCAGGACGCATGGCGCGCGGGTGATGACCATAGCTGTTATCCATCGGGACGTGCACGATGTTGGGTGTCTAGGCTATCATGAATATCGATCTTCGATGACGCCGCTGTGTTCTGCCCAAAAGGTGGTAAACTATCGGATATAGTGCTTCAGATAGCTTCTAGGCATGGCATCGTCCGTTCACATGTCAGTAGGACTAGCAGAATAGCTGCCATGGCACCACTGTCTCGACTGGCCTATTGTAGTACCCATTGCAAAGGATTCATTCACATGCCATTCTGCTTGACTTGGGCTTGAACGTCTTCACCTGCCCACCTCAGATCAATACAGCCCCTCACATAATATTTCTGTTCCTTTGTCAAGCCATCGCTTATCCAAGACGTCGCTGAGATGTGTCCAGCGAGACATGTGTCAATCACTCTGGATGTACGAGCCGACTAGTCACAGTGTCTATGTGAGCTGCAAGAGTGCAAGTCAATCATTTTGAGATATCGCAAGTTATGCATGCTTACTGCCTCTATCTCAACTCATCATTAGGACGAAAATGCCATCAATCTCATTACTCATTTCGAATCAGACCTGTATATCCTCAACCCAACTACTATGAGCGATAAGCTACCAGATAATGCCATCTATATAAGGCCCGTAGAGCAACGACAGTCAAGGAAAATACCAACCATGTCTCATATCACCCGAATTGCAGCCGCTCCTACTTGCCTTGCTCGAGACAGACAGTCTGATATCCCAAACAGACCCGAATCTCATAACTAGGTTGAGAAGCCAGTGGCGCTCTCTAGCCAATGGATACACCATATATGAACATGAACATCATCAGTATCTGACCAAGACGTCTATTTCCGCGGATTGACCTTAAGATTGCTACGAGCTGGACATATGTATATCCAGCCCAATATAACATCTAATGTTGAGTAAGGGGTAATGTTTGATGAGTACTATGCATATTATGAGTACTATGCATAATGAAGGATGCTGCAGAAACCGCAAGTACATTCTCCATCACGAAAGTAAATGTCAACCTCCTGAGTCTTATGTTTTTCCCTCCCCCAGATTCACACTGAGAAGACCAGGTCTGAACCAGAGATACAACTTCGATGTTTATCCAGAGCTTTCCCACAACCTGTTCTCCTGTTCATGGAGCTACCCCAGCCCGGGGGGACCAAAGCAAAAGAGTACATTCGTCAGGTTATGTGCAATTTCGGCGTGGAAGGGCTGGCATTGTGGAGAATGTGATCTCACTTCGACAGTGCCTTTCTCTTCATTCACACATGTGAGAAATTGAAGTTTCTGAATAGACGTGCTTTTTGTATATTGCTGATATTCTTGCAGATGGATACTATGCTAGAACTTCTGGGTCCAGGTGGATCAGAACAGACAAGTATATAGTGTTTTGAGGATGTAGAGTGGGAAAGTGGAATGTATTACTATGATGGTATGTCTATCGTTCACGGCTTCTATTACTAGCTTTTCTCAGTGTCCTTCCTTTCCCTTCTGAGACAGGCCACGGAATCATAAGTGCTGGTAAGCTAGGCACAGGTTAGGTTTCAATGAGTGCTAGTATGAAACTAGCACACCATACCAGGGACGTGAGATGGAGGCAGGCGTTTATCTATGGGATCAAGTCTAGTGCCTCTGGGCTGAAATATCTTCTGATGTCAAAGACAGCCAATGTTTCATGTCGTGAGCAAAATAGCATCCCTACATCATTTGAAACCACCAGCTAACCGAAACAAACCTCTCTCTAGCTGCAGACAGCTAGTCTAATTCCACGATCGCAAAACCAATGCCCATTTTACAAAGCCTTATTCCCTCCTCCCTACAGCCCTGTGCTCTAGACCCAACCCTCGCTAACCAACATCCGACCATCCGACCATTTGAAAACCAAACACAAAATCGACGAGGTCCAGAATCCAAAAGCAATGAATTAAACTTCAACCAGTCTCAATCTTAGCGTGTCGGAGCGCACTCAATCCCCACCGCGGAGGATACTTGAACTCCACTAGCGCAGCGTCCGTCTTACGCAGCGTTTTAGCAAGTTAAAAAGAAATCTAAATCAATGAGGCAGGACGAATCACGTTCCTTCAGTTTCAGGGTTGCCTGGCTGGGAGTGGAGTCACTTTTTCCTTAACTTCATGCGTGGTTGTAAACTTGTAAACTAGTTTAGTAGTTATCGCGGATGATGGCCGATTGCGGTGACAAATTGGTTTGGCTAAGCGGATATACTAACTACTGCCCCGGGATGATCTGTGCTCAGGGGTTCGGTCCGGGCGGCCCTCGGTTGCTTGGCTTGCTGGTGGTCCACGGATATAACATGGTCTGGGTTCGTGATGTTGGTGAGTGGTTCGTGATATTGTGAGGGTCGTGATACGAGGTTGATGGGATTAGGTTTGTTGGTAAGTACTACGTAGTTGCTGTGTGCTGCTGCTTTGGTTTGTTTGTAGGCAGACCCCGCGGTCATATGAGATGGGTTGGGCTAGTGGTGGAAACGGACCGGCCTCTGTCAATAGACTAGCCTTATGGTTAGCTTCGTGTCAGGTTGATTAGTTTGCTATGGGATTAATTGGTCTGCTTGGCGAGGAAAGTGGCTGGCTAACATTTTACCGGTAGGGTGTTCAGTTGAGTGGTGAGTGCGTGATCTCTCGCGGTGCTGGCAGCTGGAAATGCTTCACAACCGCCTACATAATAGGAGTCTAGCAGACTTTTCTACTAGCTGTAGCCATAAAAAACAGCTAATGGGGACAGTAGCCCATAAGGTCTTCAGCGGGAGTGTATGTTAAGCCGAATCAAGATGGCGAGATCAGGACACTGCAAGAAACAGAAGCAAGCTGGAGGACGACGATTGACAGTTGCAATGACCTTTTAAACATGCGGATAGCATTTCCACCAGTCGTGGTATTTGGCGAGGGGTCAGCAGACAGCTATGATGAGCTCCAGGCACTTCACTCAACTTCATAAGCTTTGTTCGCCGTCGCAGATGATGTGGCGAAACCTCCCGCGCCAGTTGTCCGCAAGGGATAACCATGTAGGGCTTGCTGTCTGAATGAGTGTCGGGGCAACGGATCCCATGGCCAGCACAGATCTCTGTATACTGTAGACTCGTTACACAGATTATGTTCTGTCCATTGAATCGAACAGTTCATCTTACAGTTCATTCCACATTCTGGTGGGTGGTGCATCAAGACCCAAACAACCGTACTAACACAATGACAATTAGAACCAGAGGTAGCAACGTCTTTTTCATAGGATTCTGATATCAATCAGCCGGTATGCAGGGACAATAGATCGATCGCATCTGATCTCGTGCCTGATCGATAAGCTCATCATCAGATTCAGGCTCATAATCTCGAATTCCTTCGTCTCCGTCTCCTGCATTCCGTTCCCCCGGAACCATGTCGATCCCTGCCTCCAAGCAAAGTTCATATCCAGACAATTAAAACAACGCATCAATTAAACTTTCAGGTCCGACCACTAGCATTGAACTAAACAGGGACTAACAGAACGGACAGACCGGTTCTATCCACAATTCCATTATCGCGTCCCGTCGTTGGCAACCGGTGCCTCTTGGCCTCCGATCGCGCATGCATTAGCGACAGGCTGTTTCTTCCCCCTCGTCGTACGATCAGTCATGCAGGAAAACTGTGTTCATTTAAATGGCAATTTAGGTTCTGAGTCCTGCATATTAATCGTGCTTTAGCTCGGAAAATTTTCTTCTGCTGCCGCTGCTGCTGCTGCTCCTGGCCGTTCTTTAAACATAATCTGTTCCTACTCATATCTCTCCATCCCTGTCTTTTTCTATGTCTGTGTGCTGAAGAAGACTGGAATCGACGAGCACGATGGAGTTCGAGCACGAGCCCAAGCAGCAGGTTGATCCTGTGGTGGCCACCGACTTACAACATTCCGACAGTCCATCCACCGTGGATGTGCCGATCAACGCTTCTGGCCACAAGCAGGAGCTCGAGCGCAATTTTGGCTTCATTAACATTTGTGGTTTGGCTTTGACTAGTGGAAACACCTGGATTGCTTTGGGTGGGAGTATTGTAAGTGACTTCTTCAATCGTTTTTATTTGATAGATGTCGTCATCTGTAAAGTTGCTTGTCTCCGACCGTCTGATAACTGATACTTTCGACTATCCAGGTCACGGCTATCTATGATGGAGGTCCGCCCGGTGTGATCTATGAGATGTATGTCCACTACCACAGCAATCCTATATCAAAGTCAATACTAATGTTCTCCCAGGATCGCGGCCTCTTTCTTCTACTGGTTCATCGCTGCATCTCTCGCTGAACTTGCCTCGTCCATGCCATCATCCGGTGGAGGTTCGTCTTTCAACATACATACACTCGGAACAACACACTGACCTCTACAGTCTACCACTGGGCATCCGTCACAGCAGGAAAATATGGTCGCGTCTGCGGCTGGTTCGCCGGCTGGTGGAACTTCCTAGCCTGGATCTTCGGTGCTGCCTCGACGACGCAGATTCTAGGCACGCAGGTCGTGTCCGCATACGCCTTGTTCCACCCCGACTACATTATCGAGCGCTGGCACGTCTTCATCGCCTACCTGATCTGCTCCATCCTCTGCTGCTTCCTGGTCGCCTTCGCCAACCGTGCCCTCCCCATGATCGAATCCTTGGGCGGATTCCTCGTCGTCGGTGGCTTCCTCGTCACCGTCATTGTCTGCGCCGTGATGCCCCACGTCAACGGACAGCCCTACGCCACGGACGACTTCGTCTGGCGCGACTGGCTCAACGAGGCCGGATATAGCAGCGATGGCTTCGTCTTCTGCCTGGGTATGCTCAACGGCGCCTTCGCCGTCGGCACACCCGACGTCATCTCCCATCTGGCCGAGGAGGTGCCCAAACCGGGGAAGAACATTCCTCTGGGCATGCTGGCTCAGTACGTTATGGGCTTCTTCACAGCCTTCATCTACCTGATTGTCATCTTCTACGGTATCACCGACCTGAACGCCGTTCTCGAAGCCCCCTACCTCTTCCCTCTGACCGAAATCTACCTCCAAATCACCGGCACCCGCGGCGGCTCTCTCGGCCTCATCATCGTCTCCATGCTCCCGCTCTTCGTCGCCATCGTCGGCTGTTACCTCACCTCCAGCCGTGTGCTCTGGACATTGGCGCGCGACCGCGCTACTCCTTTCAGTGGCTACCTGGGCCGGGTCAACCACCGCTTCAAGAACCCTCTCAACTCGGTGCTCGTCTGCGGCTTGATTGCGATCATTCTCGGCTGCATCTACGTCGGTAACTCCACTGCATTTAGCGCTTTCGTCAGTTCCTTCGTCGTCTTGACCACCTTGTCTTATTCCGCTGCTATTCTCCCGCACCTGCTTCGTGGCCGTCAGGGCATCCCCCGTGGATGGTTCTGGATGAGTGGCATTACGGGGTATCTGGTGAACACGGTCACTTGTCTGTATATGATCGTGTTCATTGTCATCTTCTGCTTCCCGTTCTCGATGCCTGTGGATGCCGAAACCATGAACTACACGTGTTTGATCACGGGCGGGTTCACTATCTTCATTGCGCTGTTCTGGTTTATTCGTCAGGGCAGCTATACTGGGCCCAAGGCTATTGCGCTGGAGAGTAGTGCGTTGGCTAAGGATGCTATCTAATGAAGGAGTAAATGTTATACTGTATATAAGGAGAGCAAAAGTCGGTTGATTTTAATAATAATATATATAATACGAGTGATAAACAAAAGCAGCTGTCAGTGCATTTTAGTATAAAGATGAGTACTAAACAAAAATACATGTTTATCGTCTTCGAAACCACAACATAGTATAACCCCCAAAAAACCATCTACTCCCTCTCTCCTGCACTAATCAACGCAACCCCAGTATAACACCCCTCATCCCTCCACACCACCTTCTTCTCCCCATTCTGCAAATCAACCCAATACACACTCCCTCCCAGATCAGCAACATATACCTTCCTCCCCTTCCTATCCAACTTCAACCCAATAGGCTCATTAAAATGCCTTGCCAGGATCTCCCTCGACTTCACCACCACCTTCAAACCGCCAACAACCTTGATCCTATTCAACGAACACCCCCACGGATGCTCCCCCCGATCGGTCCAATACAGCATCCCATCCTCCTCGTCAAACTCCAGATCAATCGGCTCCGGCAATCCCTCCAACACCAGTTCAACATCATTTCGACTGTCCGCCGTCTGTCCAGCCGGCACGTCCAAGCCAGCACGGAATATCTGCCCCTGCCCACCTTTACTCGGCCCCTTCTGCGTCCAATACACATGTCCGTTCTTCCGGTCCAATGCAATTCCCACACACCACCGTGTCATATCCCGGCGGTGGGCGGTGTTATCAAGTGCTCCTGTCTGTACCAAAACCTCATGACCGGTGCCGTCAAACCTCACCCGATGCACGCTCATTCCTTCGCGATCACAGAAATACACGTGCTGCGTTGTGTCGTCGACAACAGGCTGCTTTGGCGTATGCACTGTCCCTGCTGGGAGTAGGGTGCATATATTCTGGCCATCTAGTGTCGCCGAGTGCACGGATCCGTCGTGCGTGGATGTCGACTGCCCCATATTGGTCCAGAAGATGCGTCCTGCCGTCGGAGACACGTCAACCCCATCGGGGAGAGACTGGCCTGTGATAATGGGGACGGGCATCATGCCAGTGGTGCCCGGCTGGAACTTCAGTATCCTCCCAGCGGTGGAAACCTTCTCGATATCAGGTGTATTCGCTCCCAACCCAACATCAAGAAGATAGAGCAGAGGCCCTTGTCCCTCCTCCTCCTCCTCCTTCTCATTTACGTCCTCAGTAGAAGGGTCAGGAGGATACAACCCTCCCAATCCCTCAGCCTTCCTCCCGACCTTTCCAACACTCACAAACCTCTCCCTCACCCAATCCACCGTCAACTGTCCATCCAGTCCCCTCTCCCGCACATAATTCTCCTCAATATCAGCCACTGTATCCAGCCCAACCGCATCCATCAACCGACACGGCGGCAAACTCTCCTCCCCTCGGCCAAACATCTCCCTCCACAACAGGTCAATCTCCTTAGGTTCACTCACCCCCGCCGCCAGAATCATCAGTATCTCACGCTTAATCGCCGCCCAGAGACGATTGAAGATGAACCCTGTGGACTCTTTCCGTGCCGTCACGGGGATAACTCCACACTCACTCAATACCCCACTGAGCATGGGGAATACCCGCTCGTCCGTATCCCCGCAGGTCATTAACTCCACGGTCCGGATAGCCGGCGGCATAGTGAAGTGCATGTTGAGAAGAAGGACCCGTCGTGACAGTGGTAGATGACCGCCTATAAGGCGGGATTTGTAGCTGCTGCTGTTCGATGCAAGGATGCAGTCTGCTGGACTGTGCGCGTGGAGGTCTGCGAAGAGGGATTGCTTTAAGGGCAGGATCTCAGGAACGGCTTCGATGACTAGCCAGGCTGTGGCGACTGCTTCGGGGACGGTGGTAAAGGTTGAGATTCGGCCCGGAGATAAAGCTGAAGGACGAGGGCTATGGGTAGTAGTAGCGAATTCGTGGATGTGCGTCGAGATGTAAGTTCTAGCAGAGTCAAGGGCAGAGGGCGATGGATCGCTGATGTGCACGCTATAGCCGGCAGATGAGAAGACGGCGGCGATGCGGCGACCTAGAATGCCAGCGCCAATGATGACGACAGGACGGGCTTTGGAGGGATGGGTGATAGTAGTAGCTGCAGTAGACATTGTGTTCATTGTGAGGTATAGTAAGGATGGATAATAGAATAGATGGATACGAATTTTAAAGGCATAGAACGGATGAAGCACAGCAGAGGAACCATCTATCCATGGCGATAGAAAGACATCTTATATATATATACAGTCTACTACTAGATATCCAGCACCATAAGCTCCAATCCAGATTAGAAAATTCACATATATAGTTCCTTGTCCACTATTGAGGCCGCGAAAGCCGAAACCAAACCCTGGTCCAAACCCACAACGGAAACCGTTCGGAGAGCTTCGGACTCGGAACGGATACAGTTCGGAGAGTTGTATAAGCCATAGATTCTGATGACTATAGAACTCCACATGGCATTCTGCATTAGTCGATCGTGATTTAATGGGATATTTCGGTTATCGGCAGGTTTAGCTTACTAGATTGGGGGGTTTTGAGAAGAGGCTTTTCTCCGTTGTTGTGCCGGGTTCCGGTCAATTAAGTTAGGGATTAATGGGATGTTTTGATGGTGACGGGGTTATAATGAGGGTTGTTAGGGTTTGTGTATTGTTAGTATTCTTGTGATTACTACTGGAGGAGAGGATATACTTAGTCTTTGGATAGCTTTCGATACTTGGCGGGAAATGGTAGTCTGAGTCAGAGACAAGTTAATTAGGACTATACAGAATTGCAAGGGTTTGGTGCTACGACGTGCGGAAAAGTGGTTTCTCAACTTGGTGGCTCGAATGATAGACTAAATGGAGTATATACGTGATATTGAAGTTATTCAACTAATCTATCTATCAAAACAAAAACACCTGATCCCCAGCCTTCGCCACCGCCCCAGGCATAGTCCATCCCAGGTCTAACAACACCTTCTTCATAGCCCCCACCATCGGCGGAGGCCCACACAGCAGCATTTTGTTATCCGGTCCAGCAACAGGCAAATGCTTCTGAATAAGCTCAGCACTTACAAACCCTCGGTACCCAGTCCAGCCATCATCAGGCCTACTGAGCACATAATGCACCTGAAACCTATCCGGATGATTACGAGCAAAAGCCTCCAGCTCTGCGCGAAGCAAAATATCCTCCTCGGTATTATTAGCATACAAAAGAGAGATGCATGTATCAGTGTCTGTCGGATCTTCGCAAATGGCGCGGATAAGCTGGTACATAGGGGTGATGCCGGTGCCGCCGGCAATCATGCCGATGTGTTTGGCATACCGTGGGGAGTATTGCATGGCGCCCTTGGGGCCGCGGATCTCGATGGTCTCGCCTATTTTCATCTGCGCTAGGTGCTGCGTCATTGCGCCCTGCGGGTAGGCCTTTACGAGGAGCTCGATGCGGCCGCGGTCGTTGTTGTTCGATATGGGAGTGTATGAGCGTGCTACGCTGGTGCCGTTGATTGTCGCACGTAGGGCAATGTGTTGTCCTGTCGGGAGGCCGAGAATGTCGTCAGGGTTTGGTAGGGAGAATATAATGTGGTATACGTTCGGGGCGATCTCTGTCTTCTGGGTCATGGTGAAGGGTCGCCATTGTCGCGGGTCGAGAGGTTTCGGTCTCGGGATAGTGGCTGTCTTAGAAAGGTGCATCAGATGCGCGGGCTTGGATGGCCTATGTGAGGCATAGTGCGTGAACTCTTGCTGAACGTCTAGTTTCGTCGACGCCCATAGGCCTAGGCCAAGTGTGGCGGAGAATTGGACGATGCTGGCGAGGCCTGCACCTAACCAGAAGTGGCTGGCGTTATTCAAATCGGCACCCCGTGGGAGTTGGGTGAAGGAAAGCGCCGAGTGCTGCACAACCTGGAGGGCTTGTGGGGGTGTCATGCCTCGTTTATAGACTGTCACGATGGCTGTGACGACGAGACCGCCCAATCCGAGCTTGCTTACCGTGCGAAGGAACCCCCATGGAGAGGTCTTCTTCACATTGATGACAGCGGACTGTGATACTTGTTCGTAGTTTGGACGGTACATCTCCACAACCTCGGTTTGTTCCTAGACAAGTCAGGGTACGTGTTGAGGACAAGGGTGATTGTACTACCTCAGAAGGCAAGTCGCCAACAAAGTAGGGCTCGAGCTGCTCGCGCGCCTCGTCCGAGTGGCCGATTTCTTCAAACGCTTCGGTGGCATCGGTACCGGCAACTTCGATGAGGGTTTCTTTTCCACCGGGATGGTCTTCTAGGTACTTGGTAATATCGTAGACTACATTGACGGTCAACTTCCATACCCCGCGAAGGCAAAAGAGTAAAGTGACCGACCTTTGTTGTGGAGGACGATCCACAGGTCGTCGGCCGTGTTGTGCTTCTGCACCTGCTCCAGTGTGAAAGTCGCCATGGTGGATTGTGTGTTGTAGACTGGTTTATTTCGCAGAGACAGGGTTATTATATACATATCATTCACATCCTGAGTGTGATGTTTCCGGCTACCCGTGCAAACATAGCTGAGACCTGGGCCGAAGTTCGTGCGAGGTTCGTGCGAAGTTCGTACGAATGCCAGAAGGTGGCCCTTCACGCCACTCCAAGCAGACATTGGAGATGCAAAGGCCAAGTCTCGCCTTCAATCAAATATAAAGGTTACCCTTGCCAAAGAACCTGGTATGTTGTCCTGAAGCAGTCCATATTTCCCCTTCATCATGCAGTGTCATTTCTACCTCATAGGCGAAGCCGTCGCCACAGCGCAGTGTCTCGAAGTGGACACCCTTTGGAAGTTCGAGGACCTCCAACGCGCAGTCGGTGGTGTATTCCACGTTGTTCAGCCTACCGGCATTTCTTTCCACACCTCCTCTAATGATACCTTGAAGACGGTGTCCGAGGTGCTCGCGGCCGCGACGTCCACCTCGCCCGTCGGCCTGCGCATCGACGGTAACGCCGTGCAGGCACCACAGGGCCCGCCAGGCCTCCCGCTCGTTGGCAGCTTCTATGAGATTTATCCGGACCACCTTGGCAATCATTACCGGCTGTTCCGCAAATATGGCCCTGTAATCAAGACTACCAACATGGGCAAGACGATCTACCTGACGGACGATCCGCAGGTAGCAGCAGCGTGTTTCGCCGAGTCAGCGTATATGACCAAGAAGATCAATTCCGATCACCCACTCTGGGGCGTCAAAGACAACACAGCCATCTTTATCGGTGACACAGAGACGGAGAATTGGCGGCTGGCGCACAAGTTCCTACCACCAGCTATGGGGCCCAAAGCAGTGCGGCACTACACGGGGTTGATGCAGGAGTGCGCGCGCAAGTCGTTGCCGGTTTTCGATGAATTGGACGTCCGGGACGAGTCCTGGAATGTCTATCAGTACATGGTAAAATTGGCATCGCAGACCATTGGCCGCTTCTCACTCGGCAAGGATTTTGGCCACTTCGACGCCGTCGACAGCCCGCTGCACCCCATCGTCACCAACATTGCCAGTCTGCTCTCGCTCAACAAGAAAATCACAGCCCGCGGCGAATGGTATCGCCACATGCCCTTCGGCGACCCGGCCCGTTTGCGCCACGTCCAACACACCATCTACTCGCTGCTGCAAGAGCAGGTCGACAAGGTGACGGCCGAGTCGCGCAGCACCGACGCGCCCATGGCTGACGCCGCGTTGTCTGCTACCTGTGTCGTCGACTACCTGTTGCACGCGGTCGACGAGACAGGGGCACACTTCCCGCCGTCCCTAATTCTGTCCAACATGCTGATTGTGACGGGGGCTGGTTTCACGACCACATCGGCGCTGCTGTCATGGCTGATCTACTGCCTCGTCACGTACGAGGGTACGCAGGACCGGCTGTACGCGGAGCTGGTGGAATACGGTATTGTAGGCCCTGCTGGCGAGCGGAATGAGACGGCCTGGACGCCGGAACTGGCACACAGCCTGCCGTACATGGACCGGTTCGTTAAGGAGACGCAGCGACTGCACAATGCCTCCTTCCAGCCTGGCCGCACAACAAAGACCGACGTCATCCTCCCCGGCGGCTATCTCCTTCCTCCCAATAGCGTCATCGTGCCAGCCCTATATGCCATCCACACCAACCCCAAGGTCTGGCGTGATCCCTTCCGTTTCGACCCGGACCGCTGGGACACGGACGAGGTTAAAAGCCGCCACCGCTGCGCCTATGTACCGTTCGCAACGGGGCCGCGCGGCTGCATCGGCTTCAATTTTGCTTTGTTGGAGGTAAAGGTCCTGCTGGGCGAGCTGGTGAGTAGGTACGAGTTCGTTCGTGACGGCCAAGAGGCCATCGATTATGACCCAGAGTTCCAGCTCATTCGGCCTTTGAATTTTTATGTGCGGGCTAAGCGCCGCGCGTGATTGATAATTAGACATTGTGTATATAAGTTGATAGACAAAGTACTTTGTAGTGTATATCAGACGTGTTATGAATATTAGCAAGTATTCAGCCGGTACTGTGGCAAATTTCACGCAGGGCTTTGAGAGCCCTGGAGTACGGCCCGAAGTAGCGCACATTGGTGTCGTCATCGCACCACTCGGAGTCTTTCTCTTCCTTTTCAAGCACAGCTATCAGTCGCTGCACAAGGAGATCTGACTTGCGCCGCTCATCGACTGGCACATGGTTGAGGTTTTTGAGCGTGATGGCGCAGCTCACCGCGTTGTGAACAAAGGCCCAGGAGCGGCACACGCTGGCTGAGTATCGGTGGAGATCGAGAAAGCTCTCGATAGCCTGCATCGCGCGCTGCGCGCAGTCCACGGCTATGGCAGTTGGAAAGGGCGCGCCAGTATGGCCATCCAGGTATACCCGGTCGATTCGGCAGGTCACATACCCGAGATGAACACCGAGCGCCAATCGCTCGAGATGATTTTGTAGCGAGACGCATCGGCGCTTGTCCGCGAGGAAAAGGGCGGCGGCATCGCGGATGCCATCAAGCTGGCGTTTGAATCTGCGCATGCTCTCTAAGGGGTCCTGCGGTCCATCTGTGGTTTTCTGGCGCGCTTCTTCGATGATCTGATGGCAGATTGCGAAGACACATTCCTGGAAGCCGAGACCATCCGGGTCATGTTTGTATGGGATTGGACAGTTCATCGCTATTGTTCCCAGGGGACGATCGTATGTGAAAGAGAGAAACGTGTCTTGCCAGATGAGCACCCACCTAGTAGTCATTTAGGAGATACAATGTACGATGTCTTTGGGAAGCTTACCATAATCTGCTTCGCTCAAACTGCTCTGCCTCCGGCAAAGATGGAGATGCTTCATGAAGCCCGATACTTTGCGCTAGTCGTATAGTCGCGCCTGCCTCAATCAATAAAAGGCCGCAGAAAACAGAAGGAATAGCGCGTCCTCTTACCCATAAGGATCCACGCACTGTTGGTATCCAGGTTGTTTCGCAGACAGTGCCCAATCAAGGCCATGGCCTGAATTTGGTCTGTGTTAGTCTGGTGAAAGAAGTTGGACATACGCAGACATTGAAATGACGAGCAAACTGCCCACAGTCAGCGCCTTGATTCGAATACAATTTTCTCGCCACAACAGTCAACCTACTAAGCACTCTGGACCGCAAATCGCGCTCCTGAATGGGATCATCCGAGAACTGGACCCCGCATGCAAGAACAGCAAACAGCAGCGCCATCCAAGACGAGCTTGGCTCCTCCGACGGCGTCGTCGCCTCGTGTGCCAGCATCCGCTGGTCCAAGAAGGCGAACAACGCCTGCGCAAACTCATCAATTGCCGCCAGCGCTGGATAAAATGGGTACGCTTTAGTCTGGTACGCCTGCCAGTAGCTGCATTATTCATTAGCACATTGCGCCCCATCCGCCGTAAGCAAGTACAGGGAAGGGGCAACCAACCGGATCACGTCCGAATCCTCAGGCAGCGTTTGGCACACATCGCTCACGGTTGCGTCTGCACCCCAGAGGTTTATGAATGGGTATGCTCGCGGCATGCATTGGTTGATCAGGGCATCTTGCAGAGAAAGATCTCCCGTCACCGGCGACATCGTGGTCTGGCGGCAACCCAGCGCCAGCGGTGCGTCCGCGTGTCGACCGAGGTAGATCGTCGCACCTGTAGCATCTTCGACAACGTACCGGCCAGGTGATTCGCTAGCAGGTCGAACACGCATGCCAGGTAGTTGGGCAACGCTGTCAGTCAGCGGGCTGGGCTGCGAGACAGGCATGGTTGTGGTCGCCGCCGCCGTAGCTAGAAGATCAGCTTTCAGCAAGGCAATTTGTTTCTCGATGGCCTCCAAGCGGGAGATCAGGGTCGCTGTTGCGTCACCTGGGTTAACCGACGAAGTGTCATTTTCGAGGTTCCTGGAGAATGAGTATTAGCTTGGGATGGGGATTCTAGAGAGGCGGCTCACGTTGAATTGTAGTTCTGAGATGGTCCCTGAGGAACATCGGCGGCGACAGAAGGAGGATGATCCTCGTTCCCGGTCTCAGAAGATGTTGGCACACGACATAACTCGGGATGGTTGCGTTTGACACAGCTGGAGCAAGGAACCTGGCCGTCGCAGCGGACCTTGCGGTGTCGACAAGGAAAGCAGGATCGGATGCCACGGGACCTCCGCTTATTCTTCAGAAGCTCGCGCACAATGCTAGTGTCGTATGGATATTCGCTGTCAGCCATAATGGAGACCAGCTTTTATTACATGGCCCTTCAGAGCAAAAGTGAATGGAATGCAACCAAAGAGCAATTGGGGACGGATAAAGATGGACGGCGGGAGGTACAGAGATCCAGGTCACGTAATACATACAACCTAGCTAATTGATAGTTGACATGCAACAGGGAGTTGTGGAATAGCTGAAAGGTTAAGGCCTATTGAGTGTGGGCGGGCAATTGCTGCAATCATTGTATCTCTGTAGAGTTTCGCTGAGCTGAAAGACTCTTCTGATACTTCTAGACGGTGGCTTCTTATTTGGCTCTCCGGGATGCCCCCCCCCCCCCAACAAGAGACATGTGCACTTTGGGAGCTATTATTTGGCTAGCTGGTATATTCTGTAATTGCCGCAACAAATATTTGCTTAACGATAACCATGTACCGTCTCATAGTGGGAATGATTGCTCCTCCACTCATCTCACGCATCGTCAAACCATTTATGTGCCAATGCTTCTCGTGCCGTAAGTCTTCTCCTTGGATCAAAATTTGTCATGGCCCAGATAAGACTTTTGAAATCATCGTCAACTCCCTTCCAAAGCATAAATGGTCTGACCGGATTCTCCTGATTGAATCCATTCAGGGTTATGTTGAAGACAGAGGCCCAGGGATTGTCACCGAGGTATTCGAGAAAACCATGAAATCCATCTTTGTCGGCGAAGTAGGAGATATGGCGTTCAATCACGACGGCTAAGCGGTCTATGCCTTCATCTAATTCGTCGTCTCCGACTGCAAATATGACCCGTTTATGTACCACGTAGATACACTAGTGAAAGTTAACAAACCGAAATTTTGAATGAAGTGGTGATACTTACAACAAGAGCGAACGAGAAGATATCAGACGGTTTATTCACCCGTCCTCTAGCATGGGCTTCGGGACTCCTCCACATCCAGTTGCCTGCTTGCTTCCCAAGCATGGATGAGCCAGGAGGGATGTATACGGCGTCTTCGAGGTCGCCGAGTTGGACTTTATCGATGGTGATGCCGTCATCGGACTGTTTCCAGTTGACGAAGAAGTTGTCCGCTTTTATATCTATCTAGAGTAAGCTACTGTCTGTTAATCCACTCATGGTAAATTGATTCACCTGTGTGAACGACGTCCTTCTCATGCATCTCGGCGATCCCAAGAAGAGCTTCTTTGAGAATTTTCTTTCTTATTTCAAGTGACAAGTCCTTCTGAGCCAAGTGTAGAAGATGACTTGTGAGGTATTCGAACACAAACATGGACTTCTCAGGAATAATGTCCTGGGCAAGACGAACATGGCTGGCATTGTTGCGTAATCTTCTGTTTACGTCCTGAAGGTCTTCGAAATTCACCTCGTGGATATATTTCAATATGAATCTCTGATCACCAGCGCTAATGGACTAGTAAGGGAGTGGTCATGAGAAGTAGTAGTCAAGTCTACTCACGTTGCAAGGAGAACCTGACGTGGCGGAGATGATTCTTCCTGAAGAACCCGTTCAACTTGATAATGGCGGCCAGATTGGCCAATATACTCATCAGCGTGGATTGAGGAAGTTGGAATGGTGCTTCCTCTGCGGCGGAGATGACTGTTGACGATCGATTTATAGCTAGGGAGTCTTGAACTCACGAGAGCCGAGTATGCCCGCGCCTTGAAAGAGTGCATAATTGGGGAACATGATGACAGCATCGAGAGAATGCGACTGACTGAGTATTAAGTTCTGCTTGGCTTAGGGGATTCTGACAGAAGCTGTGTGGCTTCGAATGGAAGTCAACATCAGGTGACAGATGCAAGGGATGTCCGGGGAGAGAAACGCCACTGTGGGCACGGCCAGGGGAACATTGCGCTGAGCAATCAATGTGACCCATGAACATGATGTCTAAATTCTGGCATATTACAAAATTTGCACTTTCTCATGATCGAGTGAGATCTACACTCTAATCAAATGCTTACTCAGGGATCGCAGGCTCAACACAGCCCCAGACAGGCAGGTATATTGCTACAGATATTCCACACATCTACAAACGAACTGGCTCCTTATCCTCCTCAACACACAAATGTCCCTCTCTAACCAACGAATTCTTACATGACCGCTTCTTCGCCCAATCCTCCAAATTGTTCAGTGACACCTGGGCAATCTCACTTAGTGCCTCGCGCGTGAAAAACGCCTGATGTCCACACACGAGGACATTGGGAAACGTCATCAGTCGCATCAATGTATCATCATGGATGATCTCCGCTGAATGGTCATTATAGAACAGGTCCCCTTCTTCCTCATACACATCCAACGCCAACCCACCCAATCTTCCATCCTTCAACGCCTGCACCGCATCTCTTGTATGGATCAGCCCGCCTCGCGAGGTATTCACCACCATTGCCCCTCTCTTCAACTTGGCCAGGCTTTCCGCATTGATCAAATGTCTCGTTCCCTCTGTCAACGGACAATGCAAGCTCACCACATCACTGCGTCCCAGCAATTCGTCCATTCCTACATAATTTCCTCCTATCTCCTTCTCAAACTCCTCCCCACCATATGGATCGGCCCCAAGCAACACACAGCCAAACCCCTTCATGATCCTCGCGAATGCCATTCCAATGCGACCCAATCCCACCACGCCCACCGTCTTTCCTGCCAATGTCTGGCCTAGGAACCCTTCTAAATTGAAGTTGCCTTCGCGAACACGGTTATACGCGCGGTGCGTCTTGCGGTTCAAGGTTTGGATCAGCGCCACGGCGAACTCGGCCACGGCTTCGGGGGAGTAGCTGGGGACATTGGCGACGAAGAAGCCGAGGGCTTCGGCGGCGGGGAGGTCGATGTTATTGAAGCCGGCGCAGCGGAGGAGAATGGCACGGACGCCATAGGAGTGTAGAGCGTGCAGGACAGTGGCGTCGAGGGTGTCGTTTACGAAGACACAGACGGCATCATTGGAGCGCGCGAGGGAGACGGTGGACGCGGTTAAAGCAAAAGGGTGGGCGGTGATGGTGGTAAGATCGGGGTGGAGAGTTTGGAGGGTCTGATTGAAGTAATGGGTGTCGTACGATTTGGCGGAGAAGAGAGTGAGTTTCATTGTGCTGGCTGATTGTTTGTTTAGATGTACTGTAGATTGTGAAATAAGTGCTGGTAAGTAGTTTTAAGAAGTTTGGATGAGAGGCTGGCGGGGTTACACATGGGAGGGGTAATGACGTATCCTATATTGACAGTTGAGTTTATTAAGGTTTGTTTGGGTCTACATGGGGTGATGCTGTAAGGATGGCTGGATGCAGTGAATGGCGTGTTGAGCGCATTTGGTGATGCCGACCGGCTCGATTGGCACGCAGTGGCAGCCCGCAGCTGATACGTCCCTCTTCATGTATCCGGGAATGAAGCTTATAGGGGCTCCCTATCTGGCTATAACATATCATGCAAATGCATACTAGTTATGAACAACGCCTCTATACTCAAACTTCAACGATAACAACTGTTTGTGAGTTGTCCGGAGATATTGATGCTGTTGCTAATTATAGATAGGGCACTAGCGTATCTATCTCTGTGACGGGTTATGGAGCTTCAAGGGTTTAACAACTACATTCAGCTCTCTTGCCAATGACGACGTTTATCTACTGGGCTACACGAGTCAATCGCAACATTGGGATAATACTATATTGGCGTGACCTCAAGGGATCGACGCGGGGGAGCTAACTGGAGCTAATTGGAAGAACATCTACCACTTGCTGTTCTCGGAAAAGTGACTCCGCCCCCGCCGACCAAGTGGACATCTCCTGCCCCCATCGGAATGTCACGAATCTGACTTCAGACCCTGGAGATCTCAATTGAATGTCAACATGTACATCTTCCCTCACACCTCACGGGTAGAAAAAGTCGACATCATGACCTGATCACGAGAGGAACAGATGAGCTGCCCTGGATGAAATGTGCTCGTCATGGATGCTCTTGACCCACCATCTCCACCCATGGTTGCTGTCCCCAGGCACACTGCTGGCAGACTCATCACCACCACCACTAAATTTTAAGGCCTCCATTAGCGACACGCTCAGTTAGGAGCAAGCTGGGGTATGTATGGGTGGTCTGATCGGAATCATCGAGCACGGGGATAGATCGGATAATATGCCAGGCAGATAGATACTTACTGACCATCGTCTCAGCTCATCCGATGCTGTCAGCCCCACCCCCTTTTTTCTTCTTCGGCGGTCCGTTAAAGCTTGTTCGATTGTCACTCACAACAGGAATTTTTTGGGCCAATACCTCCCTTTGCTTTACTGTCCAAACGTGCCTTGCTTCCCGCCAAATCCAGGAGATTAATCCTGTTCTGCTGGCCATGGACCCTTCCACCTTTATCGATCCCTATCTGACCCCGCCCGATCGACTGGTCCTCGATAACCTGCTGCTCGATAGCCAATCCACCCCGGAAAAGCCCAAATCATGTACATTCTCACCCGCCGTCAACTAACTTCCTTGCCACTGCTCTTCCGGGTTTCATGCTAACTTTCTCCTGCCCACTAAAGCCGGCGGGACCCCCGATGTCCCATTAGATGCCGACGCGACCGTCAGCCAACTGGAGGCCTTTAATGACCCCCGGCATGCCGACTTCGTCCCGACCATTTTCTTCACCTGGGATTTGAAGGACATCAAGCTGCCTCCGCTGTTAGATGCATGGCTGCTGCAACCGTATATCAAGGCCGCGCGGTCCATCGTCCGGGTGGACACCGACGTGGTCATGCTCACCCATCTCTTGCTCTACTTCACCACCTCTGTGCCTAGTGCTATCTATCTCTTCCGTAACTTCCACTGGCTCCATGGCGTGCTGCACTGGATCATGCAGTCCTACTACGTGGGCACCTATACCCTGATGATGCACCAGCACATCCACATGGGTGGCATCCTGAAAAAGCGCAATTGGTGGCTCTTCGACACGATCTTCCCCTACATCACGGATCCCTTGATGGGCCACACCTGGAACTCCTACTTCTACCATCACGTCAAGCATCACCACGTTGAAGGCAACGGCCCGGATGATCTATCTTCAACGATCCGGTACCAACGCGACAGTCTGGCCGATTTCGCCTGCTACGTCGGCCGCTTCTACCTCTTCATCTGGCTGGAGCTGCCCACCTACTTCCTGCGCAAAGGAAAGACCCTGTTGGGGTTGAAAGCAGCCTTTTGGGAACTCAGCAGCTACTTGATGATGTATCTGCTCTGGAACTATGTCAGCTGGAGAGCGACATTGTTTGTCTTTGTTCTTCCGTTCCTGCAGCTGCGTGTGGGTCTCATGGTGGGGAACTGGGGACAGCATGCGTTTGTCGACGAGACGGATCCCAACAGTGACTTTCGCTCCAGTATCACCTTGATTGATGTAGCGGTATGTTCTAAGTATTCCTCGATTTTAACACATACTCACTATGGATAGAGCAACCGCTTCTGCTACAATGATGGCTACCACACCTCGCATCACTTGAATCCGCGCCGCCACTGGCGCGACCATCCCCTCGCCTTCTTGCGGCAAAAGGACCGGTATGCATCCGAGCATGCCCTTGTGTTCCGCAACATCGACTACATTATGATCACGGTGCGACTGATGCGCAAGGACTACGACCACCTGGCGCGGTGTCTAGTGCCGATGGGTGACCAGATCGGCATGACGCATGCAGAGCTTGCGGCGATGCTGCGTCGCAAGACGCGTCGCTTCAGCGAGGAGGAAATCAAGCGGAAGTTTGCTTGATTGCCGCTTTCCATTCTCACACTTTGTGCTATACCCTAGCTGCTTCTGGAGGACATCCCAACACTGGAAGAGGAGGTAGGGTTGTATATACAAACTCACATACTCTAAAAGAAGATGTAATACATAATCTATTGCATACACATACACATACCCATTTATGCCATGCCTTCTCTCCACTAAGCAGCAGCAGCAGCAGCAGACCCCCGACCAACCCACCTCCCCAACAGCGGCACCCTCCCCAGCACCCTGGGCACAATCCTCGACCCATGCACAATCAACGGCACAACAGCCACCATCCACATCACATACACCACCGCAAGTGCAACTCCCAACTTGACCCTCTCCCAAAACGACACCTTCGCTCTATTCCCCCCTAACAACGCCCTCTCCTCATCCCTTCCCCCATTGGCTTCCAAAGCAACCACCATTCTCCCCACCACCCTGCGATTAATCCTCTCCCAAGTCATATCCTCCGCAAACACCCTCGCCCCTCTCCCCAACCGCCCCCTCAATCTCCCATCCCGCAACACCTCCCCCACAAGCCCACTGAACACGCCCACATCCCCCTCCGCTACCGGAACCAAATACCCCGTCTCTTGATTACTCACGATATCCGACGGTCCCCCCTTATCCCTCGCGATGACCGGCACCCCGCTCGCCATAGCCTCCAGCACGACCAGCCCGAACGTCTCCGTAACAGAGCAATGCAGGAATATATCCGCGGAGGCATAGACCTCTGCTAACTCCACCCCAGTCTTAAACCCAAGGAAGATAACATGTGAAGAGATGTGGTGAAATTGAGATTGAATGCGTGCCGTCACAGTTGGGTTGGCGTTCCCGCCGACTATCACCATCTTAAAGGGGATTTTAGTACTGGAGAGAAGATGAGTAATGGCCTCAGCGAGGAACTCGAATCCCTTCTCCGGTGCGATCCGACAAACTGTTAGGAGGATGGCCTCGCCGTTCGGGGCTAGCGTATCCCGTAGGGACTGGGATCGACGGGACGGGTTGAAGAGAGTTGTGTCCACCCCCCGTCCTAACCGGTGCGTTTTGTGGATGGGAGTATTGGTGGATCTTAAGTAGCTTAGGACATCGCTGCACGGGTAGAAGATCGTGTGGATGCAGGGCGTGCGGAAGAGATATCCCTCTACGAGGGAGAGGAGCCAGACGGCGAAGATGGAGAGGGGTCTAGGGAAGATGATGGAGCTGTAGGAGGAGAGGTCTGTTTGGTAGTTTAGGAGCGTTGGGGGAGGGGAGTGGAGTTGGCGGAGTTGAAGGAGGAGTTGGAAGCCTAGACTGGCTGGGCTGGCGATGTAGATTAGGTCTGGGGTGAAGGTTTGGGGGTAGATTGTCGTGGTGAGGTGGAAGGGGTAGACGAGGGTGAGGTCGGGGTTGTAGGGGAGGGGGTAGCCGGGGAGGCGGATTGTTGTTGTTATTTCTTCTTCGTGGGTTTGATGATGTTGTGATGGTGAGGATGATGGTGGTGGTGGTGAGGTGAACTGTGGTGCCACGACGGCCAGTTCGACGCCATTGCGACGCAGATACTCGATCAATTTGCCGGTTGTGCGACTGACGCCGTTGACTGGACCCAGAGATTCGGTGGTGAGGAGGATGCGTTTGCCTTTAAGGATGCTGGGGAAGTCTTCGGAGGGGGGAGGAAATGAGGGCATGTTGATGATGTTTGATACTATTCAACCAGTATCTGATTGGTGGACTGTATATCTAGACACAGTCTACGACTACCAGGAGTGCACGCACGTACTTATGTTCTACAAAAATAGACAATACGGTGTGCAGAGCAACCAGACCCAGTAGGACAAACTACTACACCCCACAGATCATTACTCCCCTACAATGGGAATCACCGCAGGTGATGCACAAGAACTGTTCGTGTCGCCGGGCTGGATGCGGGCACGTGGGCTGGCTGGAGAGAATCGCTCGTTCGGGCGGATCACCAGCCAAATTTCATGCCTTCAATGCCTCCTGCATCCCCCCGAATGGTTGATCCAGTGGCAGTCCATGCTGCCCCCCGCGTGCATCAACCCATGCAGCTCTGTGGCATTGACTCCCTCTTTCGCATTCATGCTCTGCTGCTCACGTTCCGCTGCAACGGCCATGCGCCCTCCGCGCAAGACCTTATCTCCTCGGTCGCCCGACGATCTCTTGCCTCTAAGTATCTGGGCAGATGCTTATACTGCTTGTAGTCCCGTCGCCCTTGTCTTGTCTTGTTATCTTGCCCCTCAGTCGTCTCGTCAGTTCCTGGACTGACTGATGAGTGAGGTCTGTCGCCGACGGTTACACAAGAAACAACTACAAGCAGCAGCAGCAGCAGCAGAAGCAGCACAATGGATCTCGCTTCTTCACCACGGAGCTCTCTCGAATGGAGTCTAGATGACAGTTCAACCTGTCCCACTACCCCCGCATCTAGTCCGTTGTTTCGCGCCGCAAAGGTGGACGATGTCTCGTCGCATTCCACCTCGCCTGCAGGAATCACAGACACCCAGGGAGCCCACAGCGACGCTGCGACCGCCAATTCGGCACGCATTCTGGCTAATGACCGTGTAAAGAGCGTCTGCGTGGTGGGTGCAGGATACGTGGGTAGGCTTCTGCTGGCACACTGCCCTTATCTACGAGCCAAACTAAGCCAGCCCTACAGGCGGACCAACCGCGGCTGTTCTCGCGCTATACAATCCCTCCGTCGCAGTGACAGTGCTGGACCGGGATCCTCGTCGCATTCAGAGTTGGAAGTCGGCGCATCTCCCCGTACATGAATCGACCCTGTACAATGTGGTGCGCGCAACGCGCGATGGCTCAGACGTGGCTCAGAGTGTTGGTACCGAAGGCTCAGAGTACTCGCGCCGACAGCCCAACCTATTCTTTACATGCGACTCGACGACTATCGCAGACGCAGACATGATCTTCCTGGCCGTCAATACACCCACCAAGACCTTTGGTCTCGGTGCTGGTAGAGCCACCGACATGACAGCCGTCGACGGCGCCGTGCAGGAGATAGCACGCTACGCAAAGCCAGGAGCCATAATCGTCGAGAAGAGCACTGTGCCATGTGGAACAGCTGAACGGGTGCGACAAACAGTAAGCCTCATCCCCACACCCCTTCTATAACAAAAGAGTAAAGTTAACGGACCAGATCACCACCCTCCGCCCCAACACCCCCTTCGAAGTCCTCTCCAACCCCGAATTCCTCTCCGAAGGCTCCGCCATCGACAACCTCGTCCACCCGGACCGCGTCCTGATCGGCTCTTCAGGAACAGCCCCAGGCCGGCGCGCCGCCCGCATGCTCGCCCACCTCTACTCCTGGGTCCCTCCGACGCGCATCCTCCAAGTAAACGCCTGGTCATCGGAACTCGCCAAACTCGTCGCCAACGCCATGCTGGCCCAGCGCATCAGCAGCATCAACTCCATCAGCGCGATCTGCGAAAAGACCGGCGCAGACGTCGACCAAGTGGCGCGTGCCATTGGTATGGACGCGCGCATCGGACCACAGTTCCTCAAAGCCGGAGTCGGATTCGGCGGGTCCTGTTTCCGCAAAGACATCGCCAGTCTGACATATCTCGCTGAATCACTAGGATTAGACGAAGTCGCGCACTACTGGCACCAGGTCAATGCTATGAACGAGTACCAGCGTGTGCGGTTCGCACGGAGAGTCATCGACCGCTTCGACGGGAATCTCTCTGGTAGGAAGATCGCCGTGCTGGGGTTCGCGTTCAAGAAAGACACCGGGGATACGCGCGAGTCGCCGGTTGTGGATGTTATCAGACTGTTGCTTGAGGAGAGGCCGGCGGAGATTGATATCTTTGATTTGTTCTGTCATGAGGAGGATATATTGCGTGAGTTGGAAGCGGCCTGTGGGAAGGAGGCTGTGGCTGCTAGGGTTAAGGTCCTGTCGGATCCGTACTTGGCCTGTTCGCAGGCTAATGCGGTTTTGGTCATGACGGACTGCGAGCAGTTCAAGAATGGACGGAAGCGCAGTGCTGCTCGCTCGGACTCGGAGGTGTTTGAGAGTCTGGATGAGATGCTGTCGCCGGCGCGCAAGGATGAGGAGTGGACGTACAATGGGGCTACTTATCGATTGACGCCGGAGGAAGGGTGTGGGAGTGACTGTGCGGCCTGTCGGAGCGGGGCGCCACCACAATCTGTGGCTGTGGTGAATGAGCCGTTGGAGTGGGCGCGCATTGCGTACAACTTGAAGGATCCGAAGTGGGTGTATGATGGACGGGGATGTTTAGATGGGGCGGAGTTGCAGAAGTTGGGGGTGGAGAGTGAAGCTATTGGGCGGATGTAATCATACCATTTGATTTCACTCACTGATATAGATAGATTGCACAATTAATTACTACTTAATACTATCATATATCCCATACCCCAATCCCAAAACCCAAACACATCAAACATGAATGAAATAGTAACAAAGGGAGATAGATTACAGAGAAGCCTCAAACTTCCCATCCACCTCCTCCACCTTCTTCACAGCCCTAATATACCCCTCCTCCTTCTGCAACCTCTCCGCATACTTCCCCAACAGCGGAAACTTATCCAACTGATCCTGCAACCTCCCCGACATAGCAATCACGGGAAAACTCATCATGATATCCGCGGCCGTCAACTCCGTCCCGCACAGATACGCACCCCCATTCGGACTACTCCGCAACTGATCCTCCAAGAACTCCAAATGCGACTGAATATTCCTCGCCAGGAAAGCCTTTTCCACCTGGCCCGCCACAAGGCGCGGAAGCGGCTTGACGAAGAAGGGCATGCCGGGGGGGTTTTTCACCGCTGTCATCCACCACCACCATTAGCATTAACATCCTTCCTTGTCCGCAGGACAAATATCATCATGGTGTTGGGGGGGGAGGGGCGGGGGGGGAAGCATACTATCCATAACCAACTGCATCACCAAAAACGGCATGAGACTTCCCTCAGCATAGTGCATGAAGTAGCGATAGCGCATCCATTCCTCGGTTTCACCGCCCACTACACCCTCCTGATTGGGTTTCCATCGAGCAGGGAGGAGAGGTTTCTCTGCTGCGTTGTCGCCGAAGTGGTCGAGCAGGTACTCGATGATAATGCCGGACTCGGCGAGCACGATGGGCTTCTGGTCTGGAGGGGCGTTCGCGGGTTGGATTGTTAACAAAGGAGACTTTCCTAGCGGATGGATCTCTTTTAGTTCGGGGGGTGCGAGCTTGTCGGGTCCGCGGTGGTAGATCTTCAGCTCGTAGGTTAGGTGCAGGGCTTCGAGGAGCCAGAGGATACGGTGGGAGCGGGATTGGGAGAGCCTGGATTCATGTGGTATTTTATTGTTAGTGTTGGGTGTGTAGGGGGGAATAAAATGAGGGTATGGGAGGGAGGGTATGTACCAGTAGAGGGTGATTTTGGTGCCTTTGTTGGGGTCGGCCATTTTGAGTGTATTGCTTAGAATTATTTAGTTTGGGATGGGTGGTGTGGGTGAATAGGAGGATGATGGTGTTGTATGTTATCTTATATGTAAATAGCCTAGGGATGAATGTGATTGAGTGCTCATCACACATAAATTAGGAACTTATCATGCGCGAGCGAACCTCGGATGTTCTCGTGAAGACTGACGCCATGAGTGGGGCGCCCATTTTTGCGATCATAACTGTAGATACCAGAGGAGGATTCCGAATCTAACTATTCAACGTTGTGAAGTGTAGATAAGTAGTGTATATGTGTATGTGATAGTTGCTACTATGTACTCCGTAGAATGTTATAATACCCATCACTAATAATATAGTTACCTATAGTAATCATTATAACATAACATTACTGATATCCACTTACCTGCATACCTGCATAACTACATAGCACAACAATATCATATACCTTACTAATTATGCTACACATCACATGACCCAACCTCAACATCATCACCACCACATCCAATACGCATATACCCTCCAGCTCGCCAGCAATAAACCAGCGCTCCCCAAACCGCAACCATGGCCGGTCCCAGCAAGTGTATGTCATTCACCTCTGATTCTCCTCAATTCCGATTGCTAACCGCTTTCTCCAGCTTTGATCCTTGATCCGGCCCTCCAGAAATACTACGGTCCGTTTGTTCCCGCCAATAAGACTTGACGCATTACATTACTCTCCTTCCCTTCAGAAACAACAATTACCTCTCAAGAGAGGGTATCAGGAGGAGCACTTTCGGATGGATGACAACTGACAATTGGGTTATGTAGAACTCAACGCCAACCGCTACAAGTACTTCCGGTGGACGCCGCGCCATGCCTGGTTCTCGTTCCTCTATATGGCGCTGATTCCTGGTGCGCTGGGCTATGTCGCTTATAAGACTGATGTGAGTGATCTGGGTTATATTGGGTGAGCTCTGTGGGTGAAATGGTGAACGCTAATGGTTGGGTAGGGTCTGTACCAACTGCGTGGAAAGCGCAGGGGCGATACGATTGTCGAGTGGTAGATCGATTCGATCCTCATGTGTGGTTGGGCGGATGAAAAGCGTGATGTGATGTGATGTGATGGGTCGGGCTGGATGTGTATCTACTACTACTACTATTATACCGTTATTGAAGATTTTCGTTTACTGCAGCAGGTTCTTTGCATTGCCTATGGGCACAGCAGTCAATAATACAGACATATTACTAGTAGATAGTAGACAAGACATCCCTGTAGCGAATCGGGTATCCTCAACTCCTAACACTCATACATACACATACAGCATCAAAATCAATCATTCAAGCAGGTATTTAGTACGGCGCCCACCCCCTTCTCCCTCCTCTCCCTCCACCACCACCACCCCTCTCCTCCGGAACTCTCTCCCCCCGTCTCCAATCCCCCGGTGGAATCCTCCCTCCTCTCATCCCACCACCGCCACCTGCTCCACGATACCTCTCCCCCCTACCAGCATCCCCAGGGAACGCCCTCATCCCCCCACCCATCGCCATCCCCCGACCGGGATTAACCGGCGGCGCCACAGACCCATCCTCAAGCGGCGGCAGTACCGCACAATCGACATAATCTCCAATAACGAACCGTGCCTCCTGCAACGTCTTATCCGCATCATTGCCTTGAATCCTCAACCTCCCTCCTACTCCAGCACCACTCCCTTTCCTCTGCCCTCCTTCCTCCCCATTCGCATTCTCATCCTCATCCCCACCATTCGCAATCGCACTCTCCCTCGGTCCGATAATCACACTCCCCAAATCCTTCGCGAGATATCTGCCCCGCGCGTCGGGCCCCATCGTCGCGGCGCCTTTGGTGTCCGGGTATATAAGGCGGAAGCAGAGGCGCGTTCCCACAGGCGGGTCAGGGAGCAGACTAGGTAGCGCGGAGGTCAGAAGGTGGGAGAGTTCGCGGAGAGTGCATGATTGCCAAGTGTAGATTTGGAGGTGGGGAGGGAGTTGTTGTGGTGGTGGGGGACTGCGCGTGCGGATGGCGTTGGGGCCACTTGTAGGACCGCTGTAGGATGAGGGGGCTGATGAGGAGGAGAAGTCGGAGAGATGGTGGTAGTTGTTGAGTCGGTAAAAGAGTTTGAGGTGGAAGGGGGTTGTGGTTTGGCGGTCGATTGGGGGTGGTGTCATTTTGCTGCTGCTCTTCTTTGATTTTCGTTTGTTTTGGTAGTCACTTTGTTGATGTAGTCGAATCCAAGAGATAGAGTGCGCGATTGTAATTTGTAGTATAGGATGGTGGTTATTGCATCGAAAAGAGAGAATGAACGAAGGTAGAGGATGAAGCTTGCAGCAAACAAGCTATCCCAGGCGCCGGTGTTTCTGCTGGATCTGGACGGCGGAAGTTCCGCCGCGGCAAGTTTGCCGAACATGGGTGTGTCTCTTTACCTCCGATCCACCCAACTCTATCTAACTATCTAATCTCCACAAACCAGCACTACACCTTCACTGGCATCACACTACAACGCCAAGATGGACTTCGCGTCGTTAATGTCCAAAGAAATCTCCAAAGCAAAACCCAAAGCAGATTCCCAAGACACCTCCAAGCCCAAATACACCCGGCGCGGCGACCTCGAAGCCGCCCGCATCGCCGCCTACAATGAAGAACAAGAGCGCCTCGCCCGCGAACGCGAAGAGCGCAACGCCCTGAAACGCAAGCTCGAAGACGAAGAAGCCGAGCGTCGTCGCGAACGGGAAGAGAAGAAGCGCAAACTGGCCGAGGAGTCGCGCAAAAAGCGCGAAGAGGAAGAAGCTGCTCGGGAACGAGAGCGCAGGAAGAGACTCGGCTTGCCGGAGCTGCCGCCTACGGAGTCTGGAGATGATAAAGAGGGTGTGGGCAAGGAAGGTGGCGAGGAGGATATACCGGAGGAGGAGCTGTTGAAGAAGTTGCGGGATATGGAGGAGCCGGCGATATTGTTTGGAGAGACGCATAAGGGCCGGCTGAGGCGGTATAGGAGGCTGTTGCAGCGGTCGTTGACACCGCAGCCGCAGCTGTCAGATGGGCCAATTCCGACGACGTTGGAGCTGGTGCCGGAGGTGGATATGAAGATTCCGGAGACGGCGCCGAAGGATCTGGAGGGGAAGAAGTTCCTGTTTCGTCAGCTGGCGTCGTACTTTAATATGGTGCTGCGGGAGTGGGAGTTGGCGTTGGCGAAGCGAGATGCGTCGGTGAAGTTGAGCTTGCAGGGAAAGCAGGCGTACAATGCCATGGTTCAGTCGCGGGAGAATATGAAGCCGTTGTTTCGCAAGTTTGAGAAGGTGGATATTGATGATGGGGTGCTTGAGCATGTGGTTGAGATTGTGTCCAAGGCGCAGCAGCGGCGATATGTCGATGCTAATGATGCCTATCTGAGGTTGAGTATTGGAAAAGCGTACGTATCTTCTTTATGTTTTGAGGTTTTGCTCCTGGCTAATGTTTCGCAGTGCCTGGCCTATTGGTGTTACCATGGTTGGTATTCACGAGCGATCCGCACGAGAGAAGCTGCATCAAAGCGATCAGCAGGCGCATATTTTGAGTGATGAGATTACGCGCAAGTACTTGCAGAGCATCAAACGGTGCCTCAGCTTTGCGCAGACGCGGTGGCCTCCGGATGATCAGCTGCAGATCATGGGCTAGCCATGGTGCACGATAGCATTAAATATACCCATTACATCAATCAACATTAGATCACTATCTCATGTATACCTACCCAGCGGACGTGCCAGCAGGGTTCTCACACTATTAAGCGCTGCCAAGGGCGATTCCCCTTTGGCTGACTCAGGTAACCGCCGAGGCGTGGAGTGACTCGTGAATCGAGATCACACGCGAATCTAGGCCCCGACCCAGTTACATCAGCCATAAAAGATGGTCAGTTCAGGCGTTTCAGCTAGCATCCGACATCTTCCAATGCGCCTCTCTGTCCTCAGACCGTCGTTTTCTGTGAACCGTAGATCTTGTCTTCAATATCGACCTATTCAGCGAGACATGATGTCCACCCTTACAAAGTCACGCCAGGTACCACTAACACAAGGTATGAGTGTAAAGAGTGACTCGGAACAGTCCTACCGTATTGAGGAGCTATTGAGGAGCTACTCACTCACGGAGGTAAGTCCGGTTTGCATGTATACCGAGCGAGGTACGTCTCTTCTACGCGTTGACAAGATGCTCGGATCATCAGCTACCAACATTCTCCAAGCGCTCAAGGAAAGCAATACATCTTGAAAAATATAATCCCAGGCGATTTTCAACATCAGGTCAACATACAGCAACAATTATCTCAGTGTCCCAACATCCGCACAGTTGTGGATTCTGTGCGAGAAACCGAAGTGTTCTTCTACCCCTTCTTAGATGGAGATTTGCTTCCCTTTAGTCAGGGGAACCTGTCCAGAGAAACAAGGAAGAGCATTCTACGCAGCGCACTGCAGGGGCTGGTTGAGATGCATGCTAAGGATATGGTTCACAACGGCAAGCAAAACATGTATACCTTAAGTATGAAGGTCCAAGTTGCTAACTATTACCAGACATCAAACCCAACAACATCCTTATCGATTACACGGAACCTGCTACTGCTGAGGATCAAGAGATCACCCTGATTAAGCAAGTCCAAATTTCCGACTTGGAGGATACAGTCATCGTCCCACCTGGGAAATGGCTCCGTGGGCCTCTCTGCGGCAACGCCATCTGGCGCAGCGCCGAGAGCTGGGCGCGATCTCGTCAGAATCAAGCTTCTGATGTGTTTTCTTTTGCCCTTGTGGTATGCTCGGCCATCTGGTCTCTATTTATCGATTGTGTGGACGGGCTCCCGCTTGCTAACATCTTGCTCAGATGGTTTATGTGATGGCAAATGAAATGGTCCTTCGCGTCCCTGATGAACAACTGAACGCTGAGGACTCCTGGCGTTACGTTCTTCGTCTTCACCTATCATACTTTGCCGACATAGAAGGCGTGGAGCGCTTCCTTGAGCACATAGGGGAGCAAAACCCATTCTTTGAACGCATATTAGAGCTAATCAACACATTCGGACTGGAGAATCCGAGACAACCGGTCGAACACTGGGACTTTCTCGAACCCGAACTCAAGGATTTGGTGGCTAGGATGACTTATTTGGATCCGAGGGGGAGGATTACGGCGAGGGAGGCGCTGGAGCATACTTGGTTTAGGTGATTCTTCTGTGGGAGGGGATGAGGATGTCGGGAAGTGAAGTGGATGTTATGGTTGCTCTGGTAGGGTAAATAGTTTAGGTGCCGAGTACATTATATAGTTCTCGGTTAGTACTAGAGTTCTGTCGCGGAAGTTCATTGGATTGCGCCGCTTCTCTAGTTACTTATTCGTGGGATTGAATATGAATGTGGTAGCCGGGGTTGTACAATCGTGGGTGTACTTCTGTGGTGGTATGCCATGCCACAAGACTTCTTTTAACGCAAGGACAAGCCCTCTCCAGACAAGATTCATGCAGATCAATGGACATTTGGCCAACTATACATGAATTAGCAACATATCCTCCCTTTATAAACAAAGCCAATGGAATGCTATATACAATCATCAATCACATCTATCATCTATCATGCATCGTTCGTCATCATTCCTACCTCACGTCAAACCATCTCCAGAGCCACCTCCACAACCCGTTCGGCATAACCCTCTGCGGCCAAGTCGACGCCATGCGGTCATTATCCACAGCATGGAGCTCGCTAGGTGGCGAGATATCGTGTCCATCTATGCCACGCATGACGCCCAACGATGACTGTGGCCGAGAGGTATTGTTCGATCCACTGCGGACTCGCTCCTTACCCGTGCGCGCGTCAAGCAACTTCCCCGCGGCTTGGACGCAGCTGCCGTACGCAAATCGGATGAGAGAGTCACCTGTGAGGCTGCCGATTATGAACACGTCTGGCGCAATCTCAATATCATCATACACTTTGCTGCGCAAGGACCGGGCGGAGATGACGGGGCTCGTGTCTGTGGTCGCATCTTGGTCGAGTACTTCATTGAGAAGCGGACGGTCGAGGTAGTCGAGGGTGCCTCGTCGGCCAGTAGCGTAGACCATCCCGCGGACGCCGCGGGTGACGGTGCTCCCGTCAGGCTGGCGGAATGTGACCAGAGCTTGACCCTCTTGCATCGCGACATCAATGACTTCCGAGTTGGGCAATCCTTCGTATATATCTTCCCATGAGCGAGTTTCCAAGAAAGGGATCGAGGTGGTGCGCCGCGGCTTCACTCGTTTCTTCGTGGGGTCTGCTGCAACCGCAGCTCGTTTCATCAGTCGATAGACTCCGGCGTATTCAGGATATGCTTGGTGGTGGCAGCCACGCAGCGGTGATGACCGCCCTTCCGGGTCCCACTTGAACACATGGATGATCTTCTGATCCGCCGGTGCAGAGATGATAATATCCGCGGCAGAGAACCCAGAGCCGATCACAAGCAACGGAGTCTGCGGAGTGGGCTGGAGCGAGGTCAAAGGCTGCAGCATTGGGCTGGGCTGCAGCACTTGAGTGAATATACCACTAGCCAGAACCAAGTGCTTGCAGTGGATGTTGTGAGAGCGAATGTAAAACCCATCATCTGTTCGTGAGATGCCGGAGATGGTCTCATTGAACCGGAACACATCATCGATCTGAACCGCCTCGGGGTACGTGCGGAAGTAGCTTGCTGTTTCTTCCCGACTGGGTCGGGTATATGCCGGAAGCTCCTTGCCCGTGATCTTCCGGTGGTGCTCAGCGAATGAATAGCCCGGGAGAGACAGCATTGATGCATAGCTGAGGGTCTGGATGTCCCAGCTGGCAGGCACGGGATTATCAGTCCACTGACCCCCTGCATGCTGAGCATTCCCGAACACCAAATGGGGAACGGCCTTTTCGGGCACGAACCGCCATTCGACATTCGTGATGGCCTCAAGCTCTTCTACATCCACGCTGGGACGCACCAGCGTGTCCAGGAGCACGTTCATGGGGAGAGCCTGCGTGGAGTACGACAGTCTCGAGGCGGCGAAATGATCCGTCAAAGCGTGCACGTCCACATGGAGCAACTCCGGGGAATCCTGGAGCTTCGCATGCAGAAGCGGGTCAGGATGAGGAGGATTGGAGGAATAAAATGGAAGATGGCCATGAAGAATATACGACAGAATCATGGCCGACGGCCCGTTCCCTGTGGGGGATCACATCAGCACGATAACACGGACCAGGGGGAAAAATCAAATAAAAATCCAGCATCTCCGTTGGCACGAAATGGCGACATACCGACGATAATGGTATCAGTCTCCAATGAAGGCATCTCTTGCGCCTTCGCCCGCCCAACCATCGTGGGGCATGCTGTTTGCGACATGCGATAGCAGGGTTCCTCTGATAAGTCCCAACCACACAGAATATCAAATATCTACAGTAGAGCCACTACCTCCAGCTTAAGGGAGAGAACCGGAGGGCCATCGAGTGGCCGTTACATTGACAAGAAGGAGGAAAGATTAAGCTTGTAGGGAAACCATAGGAAGAGGAAGGGGGAGAGGGGATGCCGATTCCGCGAGCGGACAAGGCAGGGCCTGGGGAACGCTGACAAACTGACAAATGCAAGACCCTCAACTCGACTATGTAATCCTTACTTATTCCAGTAGGAATGGATCCAGCCAAGGGACGTGGGGGGGCGATTGCTTGCCAGCCTCCAATGATGACCGTTGCTCCGTGCCACCGGCGCATCCGGGGTCGAGAAGGTGAGAAGTTTGGCTGCCACGATTGAACCCGGCAGGCCGTGGTGAATGGACCCCGTCAATCTGAGTTCCGAGACACTTTCATTGAAAGGAAGAGCAACATGCCGGTGCGATAACGGCAGTCCCGGATAATGAATAATAAACCCAATAAATCAGGAGATCGACAATGCATGACTTTTGACGTTGCGGGGTCTTCCTGATCCGGAAGGTAGGGCTCGGGGCCTGTATGATCTCTACCCTATACCCTACCTTCCCGTTCGAGACACGGCTGACGCGTGGAACCCCAGGCAATCAATCTATCGCCATCGGCGCTGGCCCAGCGTCCTCCGTATCGAAGCGCAAGAGACATATCAAGCAGCAGGTGGAATATCTCAAGAATCCAGCCTTCTGCTGCTGCCATGATTCTGTTATCTGAGCTGTCGTCCCGCCGGTTCTAATTGGAATTCCGAGGCAGCCTCCGCCGGAGGTTATCTGGTCTAGTCTCCGCAGTCCGTCCCTCTCCGCAATCATGTATCATCTGGCCAAGTCCCTGTATATGTACGCTACTAGCAAGGAGGGTGAGTCGATGTCTTTGTCATAATCCTATCCTCGCGCGCTAATATTACGGTAATAGAATACTCCGTACTCCTCCTTGGCCTCGATAACGCCGGCAAAACTACCCTCCTGTCGCAAATCAAAGCCCTCTATCAACCCCGACCAGATGGCGCCCCCGCCCCTAACCCCGGGAAAACCGTGCCCACCGTCGGCCAAAACGTCGCGACTATCTCCTTACCGGACATGTATCTGAAGATCTGGGATGTGGGGGGACAAATCTCCATGCGGAACCTCTGGCAAAGCTACTACACCAGCTGCCATGCCATCATCTTCGTCGTCGACAGTGCCGACGTCGGTCAAGACCCAGACATCACCCGGCTTCCGAGTCGACGACCTAGCTCTGCGTCCGGTCCATCAGGAGGCCACTCGGGCGCATTTACGGAGGAAATGGTCGGGATCAATGCGCC